TTTCCTTCTAACGTCTGGCAAAAGTCTCTTTAGCCGAGCTGCGTCACTTGGCCCTAATGCGGCGAGAGGCAGCAGGCTCAATACTGTGAAACTGGAGGCGCTGTAGATAGCATGTTAGAGGTTTTTATTGTAAATTGTTTATTTCTGTATAGATCAAAGGTGAGAGTACAAATGACAGAACACCTCTTACACATCTGTAGTCGTACATGTCTTTTCAACTGAGGCTGAACTGATTGAACTCAAAGCGTTGGCTCTGGAGCTGTCGGGATGTTTCTCTTGAGATAGTAGGCAGTACATCTGAGGCTAAAGAACAAGCATTGTGGCTGTAGGCTGACGGTGAAATGCCAAATATTAACCAACCATTCTTAAAAGTCCTTAAATTGATATTAATGGGGTGGAAAAAGTACAACAGTTACAATGAGAGCACTTTTTTTTTTTCCCTCATCGTTGTCCGAGCAGAAGTTTGAGTAAATAAGACCCATTGTCCTTTATCCCAGCAGCCCACCACTCTCCTCATTGTGATTTTCCCATAGAGGGCTTTATTGGAAAAAAAAAAAAAAAAAAACTAAACACACCGCTGGTTTTCTGTCCGTATATAACCTTGAATAACAGAATCAGAAAATTAGAACGCCAATGTATCACTTTATATCATGACCTGTGGATAAACTCCCGTAGACATGTTTGGCATCAATAGAGTAGAAATAGCATTCAGTTGGAATTTTGGTTGAATGTTAAAAATACATTTTTTTTTCTCAATTTTGGCCTCCGCCTATTACAATAGTCCTAAATTCCAAATTTTGTATCCATCTTGGTCTCCACTTGAAGCTTTTTGTGTCCAATTTTCCCTCTTCATTTCAAGTAAATGATCATCTGTACCTTTAAGTACTAATCACTTTTGTAATGCGCTGTCCAACAATCACTCTTCTTTCTGCTCTAGTCTCCATCAATACCTTTAACTTAAGACCAATATCCTCTCTTCTTTAGCCTCAGTTTTGGTTTCCTTAGCAACCACCATTTCCCATTTCCTTAGCAATTAAATCCTCCACAGTGTCCACCAGCTAGCTGCTATCTCTGTCTGCTGCAAATGACTAACACCTTTGGGAGCTGTAGGTTTTAATTGCTGACAAAACATTATCTTGGCTAAAAATGACTGAAACATTAGTGCCCAATACGGCACTAGATTTGTATTTGAATCTGGACAGAGAACTTCAGTTGTCCAAACACATTGAAAATAAAGACTTAATGGGAAATTACATTGACGGCCGAGTGGATCAAATGCTGGCTGGGTAAAGAGGGCAGGACATCTCTTCATGGTGAGAGCAGTGGTTGTCTTTATTATTAAAGTTTTGCCCATGAAATGTTTGAGGGCCTGTAAACCGGGCCAGCGTACCCAGCTTCAGACAGGCTGAGTTATTGTCCTCTTTCAAATATGTGAATGAAGACATGTTTTGTTTTTTTTTCTCTCTGAATGACAGCTGTCCATGTGAAAAGAGTCTAAAGTCTCCTTTGCAGAATTTATAGCGGTGTGTCAGAAAGGTGTGGTGGCCAAAGTCTTGCTTTATGATGCCCTACCTGGCACCTCACATGAGCTTTCAGGTGGATCCAGACCTTCTAGTCTTTATCGACCTGTAAAATAAGACGAACCTGTGTATGGCTTAAAAAACAAATCCAAAACGTAACCCTGGGTTGATCTGCTCTGGACGGTTCGATGCGGGTTGACATGTACTGTCAAAATGAATGTGAGGAGGAGCTCCACAAGTATCAGTCGCTGACTAAATCATTAATGACCACTCGTTCTTTATCCAGTTTTTGTTTTCTGTTTTATTCTTTAATCTGTTGTGTTTAATGACAGGCTAATGTCGTGTGTACAGCTAACACAGCACCCTTCCAGCCAGAGGATGCACTTTGGCTTTCATCATCTAAAGATAATTGTCCCTCTTTTCTTTTTCTTTCAACCCCTTCAAATTAAACATTCGGACAGCTTCTATCATAAAGTGAGGTAGAAAAATGAAGTGAAGTGAATAACTCCACTTGGCATGTTAATAGTAAGTAGGAGTAATGATGGGGTATTTAGCCCTTATTCTCCCAGGAGATTTGTCATGTCACAATTGGCTCTTTTGTAAATTACAAAGGAGAAAAAAAAAATGAAAGAAATGATCAGTCTATACAAAGAACTAGAGCATCACTTCCTTTTAATTTACCAAAGGTGATTTAAACACAAAGCTAAATTATCAAAAGCACATCACTTTGCCGCTGAGGACATTCAGTTTCCTTTAGCATGACCATCGAGGCCGCTCTGGCAACTGAACGACTTTATGAATTATAAAATAATTAAAAGCTGTTCTTAGTAATCTGTTAAAGATGACCCCCTAATACTTGGAATTGAATAACAACGTCAACGTGTGCACTTCTAGCCGTTGACCTCAGCCTCGAAGAAGTGACATACTTGTGTTCTTTGAGGCGTTTGAGTCACTGGACTTATCTTTTCCTCTGTTGTCATTTGGGACTGTGGAATAAAACCAGTGCGAGAAGACTGAAGATTGTAATATAAATGTGCCAACAAATAAACACCAGTATTTCACATTCTGACCAGCGTCATTGTTTGTGTTTGTTGAGATAAGTCTGACGCATGTGCCTGTAGTAATCTTTTTCATAAAGTCATGGAGACGGTAATGAACCAATAAGGACTGATATGAAATGAAACAGATTTACATAACTCTTGTCAGAACTTTTTTTGCTGTCTCTACATTTGACACACGCATGTGACTTCAAGATAATTTAAAGCAAGTTGTTTGTTCTGAGTAAGAGACACATCGAAGAGCCTTACTGCTTTGTTGTAACATTAAATAATACGATACAATCCAAATGCGGCTCACTTTAAATCCCTTCTACTTATTGTTTTTAACATAATGTATTATTTATGTATTTGCAGAGCTGTAGATAAAGACAGTTCAAAACAAAGTCCTGCTTCCAGTCACTATGCACACTGAAAAACACTTTTTTTGAGAGGGGGGGGGGGGTTTGCTTTTGATGTAAACTGACAAATAAAGGAGCTGCTCACATCTGGATGAAATCTGAATGAATCGAGGTAAAACGGTTCCTAGAAACACCAGGAAAACAACAAAGGCTTTACATATTTTGGAAAATTTGGTTTCTATGCATGCAAGGTTTTAATCATCAGTTCAATACTCCAGTTCAAGTTGTGGTTCGATGGAACAAAGTATGATTTCATAGTGGCATGATATAGTTCAGAGTAGCTCCTTCAGGCACAACATAAAAGCAGTATCCAGGAGATTCTGTTTATGCGACGCATGGAGTACAGTTAACGGGACACTGCGAGCACATTACTTACACCAAACAGGATCCATACAAGAGACATCACACAATCAAACTTGGCTAGCGTTTCATTGTGAAAGTGTTTAATTATTTAGAGATCTAGTCTTTCACTTTTTCTGTCATTTGGAAGGAAACTTTCCCCTAGTACAGGAAGTACATCACTTCAGTGTTCAATTAAAGCAGTACTATCCTGATCTGAAAAACGACAGCTGCGATTACAGTGCTGAATGTCAAGACGTACTTTAAACCTCCACAACAAAGCAATCACAATCCATACAGGAAACATCACAAACTCAAACTTGACTAGTGTGCCATTGTGGAAGTGTTTAATTATTTAACTAGAACATATAGCTCAGTTAACTTTGTGTAATTTACAACAGTTACACCCATGTTCAGATATCCAGGGTAGATTTTTTTTTATCATTGAGGAAACACCTGTGTGGGCGTGCAGGGCCTATAAACTAGCAATAAAGATGTATGAAAAAAGCTCTCTACTATCTTTATAATTTAAATGACAATAAAGAAAGTCTAAGTCAACTAAAGTATGACGTGCTCAGTGTACTGACTGTAGATTCTGTATATAATGTGCATGCAGTTCGGTTAATGGGACACTGTGAGTCGCCTTAAGGAGGATATTAAAAACATACAAATGGTAAGTACAACTTTCTTAATCAAGCAAATTTTGAAAAGTCAGTACACTCAGCACTTAATACTTTACTCCAGTGAAGTATTGCTAGTTTATAGGCCCTATACGCCCACACAGGTGTTTCCTCATTGATAAAAAAACTCTGCCCCTGGCAATCTGAACATGGGTGTAACTGTTGTAAATTACACACTGATCTACATGTTCTAGTTAAACGTTGAAAGACTTTCACAATGGCACACTAGCCACATTTGATTTCGTCATGTTTCCTGTATGGATTGTGATTGCATTGTTTTGGAGGTTTAGAGTACGTCTCAACACTCAGCACTGTTATTTCAGCCTTGTAGTTTTGCAGATGATAGTACTGCTTAAATTAGACATTGAAGGAATGTACTTCCTGTGATAGGGGAAGGCAAACAGTTTCATTTCAGAATTACAGAAAACAAGATTGAAGTGAAAGACTCTCTCTCTAATCTAAACATTTATGTTGTGAAGGAACATCTGGATTCACATACTGATGTTTCTAAACACAGACCCAGTTATGATCTTTGTCCTTCAAAAACTTCGATCCCTTCGAAGGAGCAATATGCAACTCTGACCCGTAGCGTTTAAAAGGGATACTGCAAGTGTCTTCGTTTAGTGACAAGCGCCCCCTGCTGGATCAAACTGTAAACTACTTTAGACAGCCCAACACTCTAATAAGACAGTATATTTTGCATGAGGACAGCCATTTACAGTTTAAATATGAACTTTCTCCCCCAGGTTCTAACTTTGAATAAAGCAATGACAGCCTTGGGGGGGCTACTTTGGTCAAAACCAACACATACCATTCAGGACTGGACTCTAAACTTAGGACATACTGGTTGCTGCGTTGTGGTCAGAGAAGCCATCACTGCAACACATCAAGTTTCTTTAATGTCTGATGATATAGTAAGCTCTTTTAAGATTTAATTCAGTGTATAAGTTACATATTGATCCTTTAACAATTCCTCATGATTAAAAACACTGCAGAGACAGATGATTGTATTTTGATTTTCTTTATTGTACAGAAATAGCGAGTGAACGTTACTGAGGCTGCTGTCCTCTGCCACGTCCGAAGCCTCCCCTCTGCAACAAGGAAAAGTTTTGTGTCAACACATCAGCCAACCTGAAGAATAAAAATTTAAATCGCTGCACAATAGAAGGCTACATTTAGCTTTCCATGATGAACCCCCATTGTGAAACTACACACGCTTGCTTGTGCAGAGACTGTTGTATAATTGCTGCAGAAAACATTCCTCATTTGCCAAAACAGAAGATAAATGATTCAAGACCTGAAGCATGCTCTCATCTTGAACACAAACTTAAATATCCACACTGAAAGATTGAAGAAATATAGACCGTCCTAGAGTGAAAACATGGTACAAGCTGTACTTACGAACTGGAACTCTGTGGCAGCTCCAGCACCGGCCTCTGCTTTCTTGTCAGCACCAGCTAATAGAAAAATTAAATATATTACTGAGTCATCTAACAGCATACACATCTTCAGATCAAATACATCAAGCAGGCAGAAATTAGCTGATTAAAAGTTGTGTTTCCTGTTGACATTTCTCTCACCATAAAATCTTATAACGTAAACACTTTTCTTATCAATCCATATCTGAAAATTCTGTGTAATAAACATTTCAATTTCAAGACTTGTTCATGAACATCCTGTCACAGTACGCTCTTCTGCATCATGAATACAGGGACTGCAGTGATTTCTCAATTCCTATTTCAAGTATTGATTCAAAAGCTAAATGTCATTTAACAAAAAAAAACCATCAAATTTCTCTCTTAAGTTTAGTATTTGTACAAATGTGCTGCTTTTGTTTAACAGAGATTTTGGACTGTGTGATAAACAAACAAGCCTTTTCTTTTGGATCTTAAAATGTGATATTTGACATTTGATAGACGACACCATCCTCAGGTCATAGTAATAAAATGTGAGTAAAGATGTGGCTGAGATGGCTTACATGACCTGCATCATCAACTCAGTTCACAAGACGTTCTCAAAGTGGAGTCAGTATCATTTAAAGTGTACTTACGGGGTGCAGCAGATCGCCTGTATGCATCTCTGTCGGCCTCCCCGCGGTTGAGGCGGGCGGGTCTCTCTCCCTCCATTCCTGCAGAAATAAAACAGGAAACTTCAGCTCAGTGCACTCTGGTTACAGGTCAATTAATCAGACAATGTAGTTCAGTATTAATGGCACAGGATTAATAAATACACACAAGCTCTGCAGCAAGAGGCCTTCATATATTTTTTTTAAAAACTGGCCTTGGGGACTTTTCTTTATGTAAACCTCCTCACTGTAATTTTTTTGTAAAATAAATAGTATTCATCTCTCATTGACATTTTGCCATGGTCAGATCAATCTCGATATTTCCTTTTTGGTTCCATATTTTCTGCTGATCCACTCAGAAGCTTTCATTCAGTTAACACCTTCATAGTTGCAAGACATCAGCTGTTCTTCATAAAGTGTCAGATCCTGCAGTATTTCAGCCTTAAATCTAATTTCAACAGACTTCAGGCCAAGAAGCGGTTTATTGACACGTCTGCTAAATGCCATAAAAGGTCTGTGTATCTCAGTAGAACCTGATATCTAATGTGAAATCTCGTTTAACTTCCACTAACCAACCTGTGATATTTTGAGTTATTCTTTAACATTCATGAAACAGTTTATTCGGGGGTCATCTCAAGCCAGTGCTACAAACAATGAGCCTCACAGAATGATCTGATAACAGCGAGCCATGGCGGCAGCTTTGTGACGATAATGGCTCAGGAATGTTTCCACTCAGCACCCTTGAAAAAGAACAGGTCAGGCTCTACATATAATGAGTCCTTGATTTGATCTTTTTGTTCAAAACTACCAACGGGTATAAAAATAGTGTGTTCAACAATACAGTGTACCAAACCTTAAAAAGAAAGTTCAGCTTAAACATCACTAAGCGTAACTCGATGAACTCACCCTTGGGCCTGGGCCTTGCGGTCTCAGGGCGGGTCTGGCGGCGCAGGGTGGCGGGCACGATCTCAGGGGGAAGGTGGAGGAAGTCTCTCAGGTACTGAATGCCCTCATTGGTGAGGTACCAGTAGAAATGACGCCAGGCAAATTGCTCCTTGACATACCCACAGGACTTCAAGGACTGGCGGGAAAAACACAAAAGGCATCACGTTAGTTTTCAGAATGACGGGTAACGGCCACAACGGAGAGCTACCATCTCCTCTATTACAAGATAACTACTGCATTAAAAAAAAAAAAGGTCCTGAATGTTTCCAGACACAAAAAGAAAATATTTCATTTCTACCCATCTTATCCAGTTCATCAAGCTTTGAGCTGAAGAAGCCCCAGTGAGATTAGTTCAATCACTCCAACCAAGAACACAACTGTTTCTTCTACAGATTCATACAAGTTCAATCAAATACCCACAGACCTTTATTACACCACTTATAATGTAATGTAAGGCCAAAGTCAGGAAGAATCTCATGAACATACGTATGGAATTAAAACCCTAAAATAGGTGTTAAGGTTTAAATTAATCACATAAATTTAGCACTGTGTATTCAAAGAACCGGCCGCATAACTTACTGATCACATTTATAACAACTTAGCTTTTATTAAACTGATGTTAAGACGTGCATGGTACCAAGCTGTATTCCTACTTTTATTTTTATTTGTGTAAATATTTCTTGAACTTATTGCTTGATATTTTACTTGCATTCCCTATTCTATCGTACCAATATTTGTTTTGTATGTAATTATATTTCTACTGCTGTATTGTGTTTAGAGCAACTATAACGATCAAATTTTCCCTCTGGCATTAATAAAGCACTTCCTGCATCTTATCCCATCTCTCCCCCTATCCCTTTCCAACCCCGGTGCAGTCTAGGCCTGTGAAGGCTGTTTCATCATGAGCCGGTCCAAGATTTCTGCCTTTTAATAAAGCAGTTTTTTTCTTACCACTGTAACTTTTGCTGCTTTGCTAAAGTCCTCATGATGGATAGGCCGGATCTTTGTAATATAGCAATAAGTAAGGTCTTTTACCTGCTTTTTGTAATGTTAACAGACAAAGAGTAAGGTCTTTTACCTGCTTTTTGTAATGTTAACAGACAAAGAGTAAGGTCTTTTACCTGCTTTTTGTAAAGTGTCTTGAGATAACACTTGTTATGAGTTGACGCTATACAAAATAAATTGAATAGGAGAGCTACGCTGGTCGGGCCACCAGCATCAGACGAGCATAAACCAGGAACAGAAAATGAAGACCTCTACGGACGAAACTGAACACCGTTCAAACCCATTCCAAGAGGCCAAAAGTTAAACACCTTTATGACTGACCTTTGCACTTACAGGGCCACACACGGTTAAACGACTAAGAGGTTAATTCAGCTCTGAATTCAAATTCAGTATCTCCTTAGGATGTACAAGAAGCCTCCAAGATAAATCTACTAATATTCACATGGAAGTACATGTTGCAGTTTTTTTATAAGTCTTTCTGCAGGTTTATTAAGAAAAGCCTGGATTCTTATTCTATATTGACAAAAACAACTTGTTTATTTCAGAAAAGGAAATCACCCTGCTCCTGTATTGATCTACAAATAAAAAGTCCCTTAAAATCAAATGTCTTTACCTCGATCTAGAGGAAACACTTGAGCTGTTAAAAAAAAAAAAGGAGCAGTTTTCACAGCTTGGTTCAGGCTGTTAACCCCACATGGATGTGTACCTGACACATCAAGTGGTCCACCTTCATTCATCACCCGGTTCCCCTCACCTGCATCGCTTTCATCACATGAAGGTTGGGCACATTCTTGTCGGCAAGCTCGGGATGCTTGGCCAGGTGGACATCTTTCTTGGCCACCATGACTCCCTCCTTGAAGAGGAGCTCATAGATAGCAATGCGATTCTTCTTGGGCATCAGCATCTGGCGTGAGAGAGAGAGAGGTGACACGAGATGAAGCCATTAAAACACATGGACGTCACTTGGATCTTCCACTGTGGCAGCATGCTATTTGCTTAGCTTGTTAGCAATCATGGTCATTTCTAGTCTGAAGCGCAGCTCCAGATTGCATTCAAAACGACCGACTTATTAACACTTTACTTCTGCGTTTGTTTTTACAAAGTTCAAATGAGTTATCACAACGTTTCAACATGTGAATATTGTTAAGAAAGGCCCGCGTTAATGGGACACACAAAACAAAAAATGGCAGTCGCAGGCGAACAGCAGAGCCGGGGGGGAAACATCTCCATCTTCTAAGCGTAATATCCACGATAGTAACACGTTTAGGGACGAAATACGTTCGTGTAAGTCTGTCTGACATTAACAACAATCGATAATTTGATATCATCGTTTTATCGGACATGAGATGCTGAAGATATATTTAGATTACAACGCCGGGTATGTCTTTACCTTTCCACTTGAGTAGGGACCGGAGCCGGAAGGAACGACTGTCGTTGAGCAGGAAGGTTTATTCCCTCCGCCCGGGCCGGTCGGAGAGGTGTCGCCCTCTGCTGGAGGGGAGGGGAACTGTTTCACGATAAACAGGTTTTTTTTTTTCTTACCCCCCTCTCCCTTGAAATCAAAGCCTGGCTGTTACAATTATGACAAAGGTACAAAACACATTACAGATTAAGCATGACTAGAACAAGACACATGAAAAAATAAAAAAAGAAAAAGAAAGGAAAACACAGAGGAACAATCAGAGGTCTAATCTGGAATCACAATTTGTAGCCTACATTTTTGTTTATTTCTTAAGCTTGTTTTGTTTTAATATATTTAAGTGTTTTTTAAGTTTTTAAATATATTCATGAAAAAATAAAAACATGGTTTGACTTTCATAAATCTATATTTGTGAATATTCTATTTGGCCAAAAATAATTTCTGTATTATACATGTTCCCCCCTTTTTTTTTTTTAATCCTCCATTTAAATACCTATTTTTATAAAGTTTTTTTCAGATATACAATTTTAAAGTTCAGTTCATTCCCACAGTAACCCATTTATTTCGTCCTTCCTGTTTAAGCAGCTGTGTTTGTTCAAACCTTTTTAATGGCATGTTGATGGGGTTGAATGATTTAAAATCAGATTAGATTATTTTCACGGAGCAAACAGAATATGTGGCAGGGAGTTACCATAGCATGTTGAATTAAAAAAGACGATGAGAATTAGGAGCTGTAAATAACATTTTTTTGTTGTAATGTATTGAGCTAATCATTGTTTTTGTTCTTGTATTGAAGGATTGTTCGGTCCACAAAATGTAGAAAATTGTGAAAAACGTTTATCACAAATGTACAGGTGAGCAGCAGCCTTTCAGCCTTGAGCCGTTAAATCTAAATGATTTATTGACATTTAATTGATTGTCAACGATCCATTACAGACTGAAAGAATGAAAAAAAGAAAAAGAAAGTAAAAGTAATGCATAATGAAAAGAGCTATATAGTTTATAAAGACTTTTATGAGACAAGGTCAAAGTAATGGATGTTAATTATTATCAGACCACCCTGAAGTCCCAAACAGTAAACGTTAATTTATCTGCTGCAAACAAATGACTAAAGGTTATTATTTACATTCTACAGTGCACACAGATAATTACATTGTGCTCACAAGATATGAACCAGTTTCCACAATATGTGTTATATTGTATGTATGCACAAGACAATAACAGAATAATAATTAAAAAAAGGGGCTCTGTGGTAGTGGCTCCTTTACTTAAATCTAAAATGTTCCTGTTTTTTTAATGTTTTATTTACTTTCTTATGATTTAACTTAACCTTGTTTTGTTGTATAACGAAATCTGTAATTTGCTTGAAAGCTTTATCAATTAATAAAGTCTGCATCAATAATGTTCTTTTTTTTTCAGGTCCGATTCCCCGCCGGATGTCTCCTCTTAAAGCTTTTATTTTGAAGGGGTTTTCCGGAATTCTTGATAACCCCTTTATGTTCTGCCTTGACTCAGACCTGACGGACCCTCCCCCCCATCTGGCGGCTCTCTGGCTCCTTTCAGCGGTACATCCACCGGCGACACAACGGAGGCGGATGAGGACAATGATTACATCTTAAAATATCGAAGGAAGCCGGATTCAATTCTTCTCGGTAAGTGAATCTCGATATTTAAAAATGTCAGCGCACGGTTACGATTGCAATGATGGAGGCTCATCAGAATTCAATTTGCTGAACCGTGACATCTGCTAACGTCCAAGTGAACAATCATTGTGATGCTGTAGCTGGGGATTTATTTTGAATTCATAGCATTTTAAAAGTTCATGTTAAGTGAAGAAAAGTTTGTTCATTGTTATAACATGTGTGTTTCTGACGGGTTTGTGCTGATAATATCGAACTGGAACCAGTCTGCACTCGTACTTTATTGCACTGGTTTTAAATGAAAATGAGATAGGGTTCCTTACAATTGAATTTGACACACGGAAACTAAATTCAGCAGCATTTGTCGTAGCCTAGGCCTAGTTTACATGCAGAGCTTGCAGTGTGAATGAGCAGTGTGTGCAGGCTGCAGCAGAGGGCCAGGGAGGGATGTGTGTGCTGGTTAAAGATCTTGTCTCTGGGGGGGAAGACTCTTGTTTCCTCCAAACCAGCACATTTCTCTGATTTCTCATTGGAGAGCAAGCTGGTGGTGGATCAGGGCCCGCTGTGATGTGCTGACCTCCATCTGATCACACACGGAGCTCTGTCCACGGTTCTGAACTCCTGCCTGATGCTCTACACACACACAGGACCACATTGCTGCAGCAAACTATGCTCCATGGAAACCATAAACGATATTCATGTCATGTGCAGCACGTGTCTGACACACAGCAGTTCATGTTTTCAAATAACACAGAGTTGCTCCTAGTTTTAAAGGGCCATGCCGCTGTTTTATAACTCATGAAATTCAGTTCTCTTGTCGTAAATAGTTCTGCCAAGCCTTGTAGATAGAGACACGTTTGTAAAATGTCATGTCTGTGCTGCAGAGGAGCTTTTTCTGTTCAGTCTGAAAATATGTATCAGCTTTTGAAGAGACATGACACATATTTAAAGAAAGTAATGCATTGCAGAGGTGTAGAGAAACAGGGGTTCAATCCCCAGCTCTTGCAGCCACATGTCCGATGTGTCCCTGGGCAAGACATTTAACTCCAAGTTGCTTACGTTACTTTTTCTTCGTTCGCTTCCCTGTGAAAGAACTAGGGATGCACTGATGACATCAATATTGGCCGATATCTGTCCTGTTGAAAGACATCAACACATCCGCAAATAATTTGGCATGAACCGATGTCAGTAGTCTATCTGTTGTGGTGTATCAATTTCATGCTGGTCTGAGGTACACCTAACCGCTGATTCAGAGAAGAGTTTATTTTTTTATTGGGCAGAGACAAACACTTTATGGTCAAACATGAGTGGAAATGTTGCCATTGTAGGAAGTAATAAAACAACATCAGTATTGGCATTTGGCTAAATTGTTATTTAACATCTGTATCGGATATTGGCCCTGATTTTCAAACTTGGTCCATCTCTAAAAAGAACGCTAAGTATCTTTGGAAGATGGACCAGCAGGAGATTTTAGGACAACCCTTTGTTTTTGACATTATTCACCACTTTTGACATTTTAGAATCGCAAAAAAACAAAACAATCAATTGATCAAGAAAAATGTATTATTATATAGTGTAAGTTATGCTTGTTTCCACTCCACGTCAGACTTAAAATTTTGTCTGACAATATCCCCACAGAGGCTTTTCTTCACTCTTTTTTTTTTAACACTGTCTTACTCTACACGATAAATCAATAAGTCAACAAACTCAGGTATAAATCCATTCTGTGATTGTCCTCCACAATAACAGAGCTCAAACAAACACAGCCCTGCTATATGAGGGCAACTGTGATTCAAATCCTGAAATAAAGAAATGTAATTATTTCTCTTGTACTTTAAGTTTAATGCAACAGTAGATGGATTTTAAAGGCCTTCAAAGCATGGTCTTGTGTTTAATTTAGTTTGGAGAACTATTTTTGCTTGAATATGTCATATACAAATGTATTCAGGTAGTTCATGGATAGCTGTGGGTCACTCAGAGAGAGAGAGAGAGAGAGAGAGAGGCACGAGTCACACAAGTGCTTTTATTCTAGCCAGTCTCTAATTGGATTACTTCATGTGACAAACAAGGGACACTCATTTGATTTGCAGCGCTGGGTTCAACTCCTCCCTGTTTTTGTAGCAGCAGTAACAGATGAGCTGTCGTTGCTAATGTAATTAACTAAACTGAACCCAGAGTCTCCCTTTTATTCTGTTTCCGTATGAATAATGAGAGATTGAACCGCGTCGTTCCCACCGGGCTTCAGACGTCATTGTTTGCTTTCTGTTTTCTATTTGTACGTACAAGCACTGCCTGTCACATCTGGTGCTCAGGAGCCCGGCCTGTCATTACATGATTGAAAACAATTAAAGTACTTGTTCTTTTCTATTCATCCTTTTTATAACCAACAGTTCCGCTTCAGAGATCCTGAGCCGTTCCCATCCACGTCTGGGTTTGGATCAATGCAATTACATTTTTGATTTCCTCTGAGAGTGACCCCGACGCTAAATAGGTTGCTTTAAAATTAAGTACCGGTATTACTCAACTGCATGTCCTCTCTCAGCATCTGAATGAACAGATTTGGAGAATATTTTCAGAGCTACAGTATGTGCTATATGAAGACTACTGAATGTAACATTTACAAATGCAAATGATGATTAAATGCGTTTCTGTTATTTAATCTGTCAGTACATTAATTGATCAGGTGTTTGGTCTGTGAAACTTGAGGGGTTCTCAAGGCCAAAGACAACGTCTCAAAATGTCTTTAGCCCCTTTTGGACCAAAGGTCCCCAGAACTAAAAGGTTCAGGGGCTTCTCTTCAAGGAACCCATAGGGGGTTCTTAAGGCCAAATACAACGTCTAAGATGTCTTTGGTTTGTCTACAACTCAGATATATTCAGCTTGATGTGAGAGTGGAGAAAATAAACTAGCAAACAGTCACATTTAGGAAGCTGGAATCAGACATTTCTTTACTCTATATTCCTAAAAAAACGACTCAAAACAATTACTCAGTGCATTGCAGTAATTGGCTGTGCGTTTCAGAGTTGATAAGTAATGGAAACATAGTTTCAGCTGCAGAAACAACCCTCTTTAAGCTTTGTGAATACACGTTCAGAGACTGAGATGGTGAAAGAGAAGGGCTCAGGCTCTGGTCTGAAGTGTGAGGTAACTGGAGCCTGAGATTGGATCCTCACAGGGGATCATTGGGAAAACGCAGGCTCCATTTCATTAAAGGGCCAGGGGTGTTCGCATCGCCTGTCATGTATCTCCAGCTGATGTGAAAAGATTCAGGGAGTTTGACTTGTATTAGATGTTAGGAGTTTTACAGTGATAGGTAAATGTAGCAGAGCTGTCACAGGCCACTCAACTGTGAACTAAAGTTTCTTGAATGTTTGTAAATGATAAAAGAATGAAATCATTTCCCAGAACCCAACAAAATATCCCGTTTTCTTTTATTTGTTGAACTAAGGGACTACCAGACACGGAGCAAATGGGATGTGGGTACAAGAGACGATCGGTAGGCGGCAAAACTATGGGGAATATCATACATTTGGAAAAAGTCACCGCTCAACAGCGGCTTTCTGAAAAGTTTGAAGATTTTAAATGTGAGCGCATGGAGCGGCCACACATAACAGACAGAGCGCTCAGAAAAAAAAAACGTGAGGTGGACACGGGGCCCTAACAGTCCAAAGTTATTTGACTTTATCGAAGAAGAATAAGACAGAGGGCCCTGGACCTCAGTCATCCGTCATTATCTGATGAAACAAAATATTTACACAACAGAAGATGAAAACAGAGATGTTGTTTCGTACCATTAGTGCATTGAAGAATGACGGATTGATTAAGAAAACTGCAAAAACTGTGATTCATGTCCAATAATGGGCTCACTGGTTATTCATTGAAGCTTGAGCATTTTTCCAGAGGGATATCTGTTGTCCCACCCTTCACCTCAATCTTATTGGCTTATCTGACATGCAAGGGAAATCGAATATTTGACTACATGATAGCAGTTTTTTTTTAACTGCTTCTCAGGCACTGATTAAAAATCCCCCCGCCGTGCCTCCACTGTCTGACTGTGCTGCAGCAGCCTATAGAATCTGAATCAGCAGAATCGGAGCAGAAAGGCTGCAGATCAGCAGCTTCACGCCGGCACAGTGCAGCCATGAAGCGGTGCATCATGTAGATATATTCATAAACAGACCGACACTTTGTTTGTGATCAGGCCCAAGATATATCCAGAATATTCCCTTAAAACCGTCTTCCTGATCTCTCCTTAAACACTGGAATAGAACTGACGCGTTAAAGCTGTAATGCAGGCGATAAATAAGCTCGCTCTAAGAGTGCACACGATCAGAGGAGCTTTCGGTGAGTTTTAGAGACAAAGGTGAAAACATGACCTGGTTCTCTGGGTTCTTGGTTGTGAGAAAATTCATAATATTCAGTGATTAGGGCTGAATATTATATTGCTGACTTCTGTTTGGAGCTGTTGGCTTTAAGAAATTGTGAAGAAAATTGTACCGGTATTTGTGATTCTAAGCTTGATCCAAAGGCAACTGGACTTGAAGATGTTTCTCCTCTTCAAGATCTACTCTCCAAGTCCAGTTCACTGTCTGAATGGCAAAATATTTTGTTAACAGTTCGGTACCGAATTAGTTCAATATCGAGGTTACTGGAAAGTTTGACAACCTTAATTGTATCATGACTGATTTATTGCTCAAACTACATCCTGCTGTAATGTCATTCAGTCTTTATATGACTACATCTGAGAGTTTCAATGAGCGAGGGTCATTATGAATCTGTCGTATACATGCCCTTACTTTCCTGAGTGTAGTGTATCTCTCAGGCTTCTCCTCCTCTGCGTCCTAAAACCATCTCACAGCTTCAGAGGAACAAGAAGAGGCTATTAGAGGCTGTTGGCTGTGGGTTTGCTCCTCTGAGGCTGGAGCGTGTCAGATATAGTGTCAGTGAGGAGCTTCACAGGGACAGGGGGAGGAAGGAAGAGGGCTTGATGTTTCCATGGCGACTGGGTTTGGAAAAGATGGTCTGTGCGTGTGTGTGTGTGTGTGTGTGAAACAGCAGGAGTTGTATTTGCATGTTTAAATAGAGCTGCAACTACCGATTATTTTTCGATTCATTACAACGCTGATATTTTTTGGATTAATTGAGTGATTGGTCCGTCAGATAAAAAGGTTCAAGGACGATATTTTGAAATGAAATACTCTAATCAATCCTCCAAAACGCTACAATTTGTTTTATTCTCATAAAACAGAAAACTCACAGAGAGAAAGTATTTTGTTTATCAAGGTATCTCGCTGAAGAGAGGCCGTGAATGTTGGGAGGAGATCGCAGGGGGGGGGGACATGCAGGGCCGAGGTTGGACTCAGAATCCACTGCCACGAGGACTATAGCCTCTGTACATGGGGCGCACAACATAACCGCTAGGCTATCCGGCGCCCTTCCTGGTCTTCCTGGTCTTTCCTCGTAAACTTTACAAATAAACTTGTGGTTTGCGATTGTGTTACTTCGCGTCTTCAGCCATTTTTAATGATGTTCAAAGTTACATCATCAACAGGACCAGCCTTGTGATTGTAACTTCTGACTGAATGAAAGCTCACCGTCTTGAGCTGCCTGCGACTTTCCAACCCCTTAACCACGAGCGATGCAGGTGTAGCTGCTAAGTCAGTGGTCTGTATATGTGTCCACATTCCAGAGGATTGAACTGGATAGTTATTATTTTTGTGAACAATGGTCCATTGATTTATTGATAACCCAGTCTCTGTTCACATGCTCTGCTAATCAACATGTTGACTTTAACATTGTGCTACTTTTGTTTTTTTATATTGTGTAGACTTTGTGATTCAGTGTTTTCCCTCTGCTGACTGAACATTAGGCAACATACTGAGTGTCTCCTCTGAGTGGATCTCACTTCTAACAGCCTGAGGACTTCTCATTGTCAACAACAAAAACAGAGCCTTTATGTCTGTGTGTGTGTGTGTGTTTGTGTGTGTGTGTGTTTGTGTGCATATCTGTCGTAGCTTTTAGCAGCTGCACTGTCTCTTAATGAGTCACTTCTATTTTGCTGTTCAGTATATCGGCTTCAGTGTGTGTTCACGCTTTTAGTGGAGCAGCTGAACCAGCGGAGCTTCAATGAAATCCCTGTCCCGCACCGCCTCTCTGCACCCGCTTGAGGGAAAACGTTTATTGATTACAAACTAACAGAGGTGGAGAGCACAGAGGGTCCTTCCTCCTTGCCCTTGAGTATTGATTAAATTCTTGCAAACCCTGACGTGTGAGAAATCGGCTCTACGCAGAATAGTAAAAGGTGCTTTATAACCGTGAAGAGCAAATTGTGTAGCCATGTTTTTCCCTTCTTCTAAATGCTCTGTGGTTGTTTCATATCCATGTACAATTGCATTTGAGTGACAACAACACAGCTGTGTGTGGGGGTTCTTTCACACACTGATCATTGTCACAACAGCACCTGCATAACAGTTCTAGATGTGGCTCCTGATGTGTAGCTTAGAAGAGCAGCAGACCACAGTCTGTGTTTGTTTCATTCCCATACAGCACAGTATGTAAAGGTCTCTGTCTATTAACAGCACTGCAACCCTCACAACCAATGTAGAGGGCTTCTGAATAGCGCATATTGTTGCTAGGTTACAAAAGTTAACTTCCACTGCTCTCGGCAGTGACCGCTAAGTCTAGTTCAGATAGCTCTATAAGCTTATTATCTTGCTTGTAGAAATTATCACCAAGACACGTAAAGCAATCGTGTGTTGGCGGGCGCCGGTAGTCTAGTGGTTAGTGTGTGCGTCCAATGTACGGGGGCTAAAGTCCTCGAAGCAATTGGCTTGGTTTGAACCTGTCCTGTGGCTCTTGCCCTCATGTCATTCATCAATCTCTCGCTCTCCCTGATTTCTGACTCTATGCACCTGAAAACAGAAGGGGGAATCGTCTCCTGGCATAAGCAGCAGCTCTAGACCAAGAAAAGACGAGTTATATCGGTTTCTTCCCCTGTGATTGTTTACAAAACTGATGTGAAAAGCCCCGCCTCTTCTTGGTTCTGTTTGGCCCATGAGGGAGAAGTGACATTGACGAGAGCGACCTTTTTCAGACTGAGAAAGAGGGGAAATGTTTGGGTGATATTGACTCGTGACTTTCAGAGGGTTGGATGTTGACTAATCTGAAAACAGACTCCATTATAAGATTGTGTTGTCTGTTCAAGTAATAAGAGCAGAGCAGCAGGCCTTTCAGCTCTTATTCATCCTGCACAGGGGTCGTATATAACTTCCTGCCATAATGGGATATAACATGGGGGTCAAATGGAGTGAGCACCCTGGAGGGGGGGGGGGCGGACATGATTAGATGATACACAGATGGCACAAACTGGAGAGATGAGCATCTGTCTGCGTGGAGCGAGGACTGGCTTTATTTGAGGTTTCATGACTTCTTGGCTTTCAGAAGACAATCCTTCAGAGTTTCTGACTGCTTCAGCGTGACTTTTGTCATCAACACCTGCGAGCTCTCGTTCATTTTGTTCACAGCGTCACCCTCATTAAGGGAAGAGCTTTGTGTATTTGTGCGTGTTGAGGCATTCATTAGGCCTTCTTTCTGAAAAAGATGTTTCCAACGATGATCTCTAAATTACTTAGAGGATGCTGTAGGCCTGCTATTTTTTTCCCTCACATTATTCAGACTTTGCACGTCTGTATTGATTGAGCGGATGTATCACAGCTGACCTGATGCCCTGATGTCTGTCCTCCACAGAACATCTTTATCTAACCACCTGTGCCTCCTCTCTCCGATCTTCCTGTCAGCCTCTATCTCACTGATGGCTGACTTTGGGTCCCCTTCAGTCCCCTAAGTCTCCTCTGTCTGACCGCACAGCACCTCTCTGAGGAATGTGTGTGACAAGGGAGAGCCCGCATTCTCCACCCTCTCCAGGAGCTAGCTAATTATTGATGGTCTGTTCAAGGATCTGTCAAAGTTCAGTCTTACAGTGTGTGTGTGTGTGTGCATGTGTGTGGAAAAGGCGTGCCAGACCCCAGGATGCATCATGGTTTCAGGTGTCAGTTCACCTGAAGGCTGTCAGAAAAGACTTTTAGTGACGCTGTCGAGGACCGAGTGGCTGCTGAGAGGACAGACCAGGTTCAGTAATCTTCTCTGATCTGTAGAGACATATCTCATTCTGTTAGGCCTCATAACGATGTATGTCTGGATTTCTTGTTTTAACCTATTTGAAGTAGTAGTATCCTTGTTAGAGGTCCTTTGTCAGATGATGAGTTTGTAATTTTGGATGACAGAATGAGTGTGTACTTCAGTGTTTTTTTTTTTAAAGGTCACGGTGAAAACAGCAAAGAAATTCATTTTTTTAAGTAAACATGGGCCTTGATCCTTTCCTTATCTAATTGAAGGTATGAACTTAGAAGAGCACTTTAACAATTTAGCCTTATCACACTGCAAATGGACTGTGTGTTCTCAGATGGTTTCTTGGCGGTGATCATAAACTCAGGTAAATCTCACAAATGTAAAGTTGCTCTTTCTCCTTCACCCAGGAGACACTATTTTGTCTAGTATGAAACCAAAAGTAAACATCGATTTCTTTTCATAGTCCAAACCCTGTTCTTGTCACAGACTTTGTTGCTCCTTTTCTATATTTATAAAACAAACATCAAAAACGATCGCAAATTGTGAAGAAATAAAGCGTAAAATTGTTAAAGGAGTTTCACTGATCTGTGGTTGCATTCTTGACGTGACCCATGATTATTCCATGAATTCTTCTTCCTGGTCTAAGCCTGGTGCCTACATTACCCACAATCACCCTGGACTTGCTTAGAGTTCACTGTGTTATGCTAGTGTGGCTAATGCAGCTTTGAGCCTGTAATTTTCAAACGAACAAGGAGTGGCATTCAGAGGTCTCCTGAGGTAAGAAGTGACGTTAAAAAAGAAACGCCATATGATGTTATAATGAGAATATTTGCCTTTATATCAATGCTACGTGTAATTCAACGGATTTACAATGTCAACAAAAGAGCGGAGAACAACATACTGACGAACAGAAAACGTAACGCAGACGTTTAATTAAATGCACGGAGGTCGTAGCGGTCGCATACAGACACTTTATGCACCGTGCAGCAGCCACAGCATATAAACGTCTCTCCCACCTCCCATTGGTTGGAGGTGAATTGAAATGGATGCCCCCTGTGTTATTTTGTAGAGGCTGCCACATGAATAAAATTAATAAGTTGTGACCTGTTCCAGTATGATTTTTCAATCCTTTAATATCACTATGGCCTGATTGTTGATCATCTGAGGCTCTATTTCCTGTTGAATAATTGACCTATATGTTATCAATCCACTTGGATCAATTATAAATTTGATTATACAGTATGAAGGATGTTGCTGCTAAAAATTGGACCGAGTTTAGTAAGTGTATTTAAGTCGGCTTGTGTCCAGAGCTTATCGATATCGATAATAGATGAACTTTGTAGAGACACAGGATACATGTTTCACATATTCTGCCATCTGGACGCTGACATTTAGACAAATGATTGTTGGCTGCCTGAAAAGAATCATAAGCTCATTCTGTTGCTTTCTGTTTGTTTGTATATAGAGTATCAGCAGCTTTTTCTGCATGTGTCTATTTGATCTTCTGAGCCTTGTTTTCAACAGCGACTCATCTTTTGCCATACAGCTGCACTTATTTGTAGGAGAGAATTGTTCTAGAGCAACCAAAACTGTGAGCTTTCAAGCAGCACTACAAGAGGAGCAGAGGGTTAAGAAGCTGTTATGGAAAAGGTTGCTGTGTCCGCAGATGAGATATTAGATTAAATACCGACCTCAAGGTGTGAAAGTCATCAGACACAAACTTGTTGTTCAGTCGGTCTGTTTGGTTCACTTTAATCGATCTGTTTCTATAATCCGATTGTCTGGACAGTGACGTTAGATTACATCAAACTTTAAAGAGTTTCTTCACGTGGGTCCAGTCGGTCATCCCCTCTATCTGTTTACACGGCACTTTGCATTATTGATGAATGGGGTTCTATATATAGGGCTTGAATCTGATGAGGATGGCAGCAGCGACGCAGTTTCTCAGTTTTTCTCTTTTCAGAGAGAAAAGTGCTGCATTTGAATAATGTGGCTGAGATCTCACAGTGCAGGCTTTGTTTAATCTGAACTTCAAACAGATACTAGTTTCATACTGCGTGCGTGCGTGCGTGCGTGCGTGCGTGCGTGCGTGCGTGCGTGCGTGCGTGCGTGCGTGCGTGCGTGCGTGCGTGCGTGCGTGCGTGCGTGCGTGGCTTTATGAAGATGTTTGAAAGTGTCACCTCAAGTTGTCAGCTGTTTTTGAAAATCAACAGTATAGCCTTTTTTTGTGTTTTCCTTCCTGCTGTCTTTTTTTAATCTTGCATTGGATAAACTAAAGCAGAGTGCATTAATGTGATTCTCTTTTTCGGAACATTTTATGGATTAAACATTTAGGACTGATCTATTTCACTTACAGATTGCAGTACTTGATAAATTATATTCGAGGACTATATATTTTTTTGTCAAGGTTTTCTTCTGCAGCCAAGCAAAATCATGGGTATATACTCACATGGGGTGACGACTGGAAGGTTTTAGTTAACTATTATAATGTGATTAATTCTTAATTTATTTTTATCGAACCCGTAACTTTTCATCTAGTCCCACCATAAAGACAAATTTTATACGTGCCTGATGCTCTTGACATTGACATTTCCATCAGCCTCAGCTTTATCTTGGGTTAGGTGTTAAAAAGTTAAAGATGCAACATTAAAGTCATTTTCACCTTTCATCTTGTCAGTCTGTGAAGCCTATAGGGTAGCTTTGCATGATACGCAGCTAACAAAAACTCCTCTTTTATTTTATACTGCTGTTCATAAAAACCCTCCTGGGATTACTCACACATACGTTTACCTCAAGATCTGAAACTTTGCCCAAGTTTAGTTTGAGCATCCAGCATTGTAATAATATATGTGAGTTTCAAGATGGGAATCTGTGTAATAGGTCAACGTCAACAAAATGTTCGTATAATGACCCGCTGAATCAGAATCCTTGAACAATAATGGTGAAGTTTTAAAACTAAACCTAACAAACAATAGACTGTAGTAAACAATAGACTGTAGTAAACATAGACGTAGTCTCAGTGACATCACCCATTGTTTTCTGAAGAGGCATTAAGAAGCCAAAAGACAGCGGTCACCATATTAGAAGTGTCATCTCCACATATCTTATGATCAGATTAGAAACAGTTAAAGATGTGGAGCTGAGGCAGGCCTTGAGCCTCCTGGACAAACAGCCACAACCAAGCAAATTCATGCACACGTTTTATTATTCTGCATTTTAACATGGGGCCTAATGGGGTATTCATTGACTTTTGAGCCTGCCTTAAATGGACTCTCGATATTTTTTTGCCCGTCCGCATTGGCTTAATGTTCAACATTGGAGGTTGCCGCTTGTGCTAAACCCTTAAGCATGTTTGCAAAGCACTTCAGAGTATGTTAGCATGCCAGCTCAAGCTTATTCATGTTCATCAAGATCATCTGTTGTGTGACATTGTCTTCCTTATGTCTGTATTAAGCCATGTTTTGCACCCTGTTCTCCTGAATTTGTAGCCTGTTGAATAGTCTTTTTAACCTCAGTGTTTTCAGAGTCTTCATCCTCGCGTCACCTCTGAGACCTGTCTCTTCTCCACCTGTCTCACTCGCCCTCCCACTCTGCTCTCCGTGAAGCATCAGGTCAGGTCTGGTTTGCAGGTTCATCCAGCTGCAGCTGAGACCGCGACAGAGGACATACTATGGTTTTATTGGTTTCTGCACTCTCAGGATGTTTTAAGTGAATGCTTGTGAAATAAAAGGTGCTGCCAGGGGAAATAATATATCTGCTGAAATGTTGTCTCACATTCACAGATGCTTTAGGTATAGCTCTGATATTGCTGTTACATCCAGAACAGTTGTAAAGCTTCGCTCTTGTTCTGAACTTTACCATAAGGTGTGTAATTATTAATCATTTTATGGCTGCCATGTCAACAGCACAGACCTGCCTACGGCCTTCAAATTCCAAACAGCTTACATTTATCAGGGTCAGCTCCACCCTTCACATGCTCAGTTTGACGTCGTCTTTAGCTCTTGTTAGTCAGCCCCCTGTCCGTCCTTTCTCCTTATTCAGTCTACTGAAAGATTTCTTTGTTGAAATGGAGCCTCTTAAGTTAGGACAACATTAAAATCTTAAAACTTTGTCTCATCCACCTGTTAACAGCTTTTTCTCCTCTGCTCTTCCCTCCTTTCCAAAATATGATGATTTAAAGGACCAATATGTAAGATATCTCCTGAATTAAATCATGAAATGGCCTTACTTTATCGTCAGACATTAAAGAAACACGGTATGTTGACGTGCCATCTTCTCTGACAACAATTCAGCAGCCAGTATGTCCTCCTCCTGAGTTTTGATTCAGGTGCAGAATGTTTTGTTTTTGTTTTGACCAGAGAAGGCAGGCGGTTTTAAGGCACCCCCCCACATGCCCGTTTTGGACGCCCCTCGGTTTTGCCGGGCCGTCTCCATCCCTCTGAACCTTTGGAAAGTGTGTTCCTTGGCCAAGGTTCAGAGGGACCAAAACGTTGGGATTTTTTCTATTATAAATTGGTGATGCTTAGCAAGGTGGTAAGCAAAGGTTTATTTTTATTTAAATGTGACAGTTTGTCGTCTTACGTAAATACTTCATGAGATAGTTGGATGTGGCAACACTTGCTTAAAACTTTTTTTTTTTTAGAAATAACTCTCGTCTTAGGTGGAACAATTGTTAGGTTTCACTTCAGCAGTGTATGTCCTGCATGCTGCGTTTATAGAGGCTTTAAATTGTTGTAGTTTAATTTTCTGTTGTTTAAACTATGTTTCAATTAAACTGAGTCTTTTCATTCAAACACTGTAACCAGAGTCTGATCATCGTACACCTAACACTTCCACATCATCTACAGCAGCCCACCTACTCCACCCCCTCCTTCATTCTGTCCCCCTCCTCTCCGCTGCTCTGTCTGAACCATTCAAGCAAAGCACCACCGGATTATCCCTCTCTCATTGAGAAACACACACACACACGCAAACACACACACACACACACACACACACAC